TCTGCAAGGGAGCATTCTTGATGTGGTGTACAGATTTCTTTTATGATATTCAGCCAGTAAAGCAGTGAGTGAATTTCTGAAAGGAGTTAGCAGTGACCAAGTGAGAACGAGAAGGAAGTCTACCTGGTATTTTTCAATGTGCAGCATATTCCTCTGTGGGATTTGCTTTCTTCAGTCTCATGAAGAGTCGCTGATGCTTAGAATCATGGGCTCTTAGAGCTGAAGGAACCTTGGCCGCTGCCCACCAAGGGGAGTGAGGAGGGGAAGGCTCCAGTCTGTCTGTGCCAGGACCTGTGTTGGGCGTTGGATATTTGCTACTCATTTAATGAGTCTTCTCAAAAACCCTGTGAGATGGGGGGCAGTAGCTTCATTTTACAGATTAGCAACTGCGGCTGAGGGAGAATGAAGGGACTCATCGAAGAATCAAACCCAGGTCTGTCTGACTTCAGGACCATGCTTTCAATTCTTCCTTTATTGGTCTGGTTAATTGACTTGACTGGGGTCATATAATACTAATAGCAAAGTAGGGATTTTAACTGATGACTTAATTTTATTCTTGTACTTATACCAGGTGGTTTAATGCTTGTACATATTTTTCCCTCCAGTGGGAAGCCTCCATTTTAGAATTGGCCTTTTGTTCAGAAAATGCCTAGTTAATGGACATGTCTTATTTATGAATGTATTCATTAAGGTAAGCCCATGCACCAGGGACCCTTCTAGGTGCTGGGCATACGAAGATGAATGACATATCCTTGCCCCTAAGGAGCTCATGTAGAAAAGAGAGGACATGGAGTTGCTGTGGAACAGAGGTATGTGTGGACAGTGTCCCTGACTCAGAGCCAACAGAGGGGATGTTTGCGCTGAACAACGACACTGTGTGATCAGGCTTGACAATGAGGGCGTGGGGCGACTGGGTGGGGAGGTTACATTCCCAGTCCTGAGCCCTGCTGGAGGCCTCTCCCTTCCCCATGCCTGGCACCTGCACTCTGTGAAAATAGATGCTGGACTTGGTGACAGGTTGAATGTGGGAGTCTAGAGACAGAGCAAACTCAAGAATGAGGTCTTCAGGTTTGGACTGATCCACTGGGAAAACAGTGATGCCATTTCCCAAGATGGAGCAGATGGAGTTTTGCAGCAGACATGTTAGATTTGAGTTCTTAGGGCATCCAGGGAAGTATGTCAAGTCAGCAGTTGGACAGATGCATCTGGAGTTCAGGAGCTGGAGGGGTCTGAGCCAAAGGAATGTATTTGAGAGATGATTTTTAAAGCCATGGGGTAGATAGAATCATCAGGGAATGAGTGTCCACAATGAGGAAGACCAAGGATGGAGACCCAGGGCGTGCCAGCACTTACAGATCAGTAAGAGGAGGAAAGTCCAGCATGGGGGCCTGAGAAAGGAGTGGCCAGTGAGATCGGAAGAAAGCCAGGAGACTGGCAAAGAAGAAAGGAATGGGTCCATCACTTGGTTATTCTGGTGAGATGTGGACCTGGTGGACAAGAGGGAAATGGGATGGTAGCAGGAGAGGAGTGTGGAGGCAGAGGGAGGCTTGTGTGGTTCTGTGTTGGGTTTGCCTGGGAGGTATTTGAGCATTAGAGCAGAGGGAAGGGATGGGCTCATGAAGAGACTGAGCTTAGAAAGGCACCAGGATGACTAATCCATAATAACAGAAGACGATGTGTAAGGGTATGGATATAGACAGGTGGGAGCTTGAGTGGTGGTGAGAAAAAATGAACACAGTCTGAGAACTTGTGGGTTAAGAAATGGCCTCGGATTGGAGGGGGAGGATGTGACTGGGACCAGGTACCCAGGGGCTTCAGCTCAATGCTGATGTTTTATTTCATCAGCAGGTGCTGAGTATGTGTCTGTTTATGCCATTCTTTCATCCTTTCATTCAAATTTTGTTTAAGAATCATAAATTTTCCCCCCAAATCATCATATTAAACGTGTAAGTGACTAATTTTTCAGTTATAAAGCTATTTACTTGTTTTTACATTGTATTGAAATTAATTCATTGTTCTCAGTGTCCTACAAAAAAATGGATAAAGCCCTCCTGGCAGTTTATGTTGAAATTTAAGAGGACACTTGTGAGTAACCCATGTAAAGGTCTTCGAATGACTCATTCCAAGAAGTCATTCCAAGTTGCTGTTCTGTTAGCTGAGTTCTTAGTATAGTATAGCACTTTGCTGCCATCTAGTGTCATAAATTTTTCTTTTTTGGAAGAGTTTTGGGGAGAATCGGAGAAATTTTTAAAACTTGGATAAGGAAACTTTATTTTAATTTAGAATACATTGCTGTTCTTAGTGTTTTTTTCGTTAAATAATGGACCAAAGTAATAATCCCTGTCTACTCATGAAGCACCATCAAAATGTAAATAAACCAAATATGTAAATACAGCCTGGTTTGGATAGAATGAATCAATTTTTAGTACTTATTTAATAGAAACATTTTTTATTGTAATTAAAGATTTTATGCTGATTTTTCTTTTAAATGGTGGTACCAGGAGAGCTCTGAGGATCTTTCTAGAACATAGAACTAATCCTAGATTCTACACAATCCATCACAAGTCTCATCCATGAGTAGCAGTGATCAGACCCCTTAGTAATCATTGATGTTAACTCCTCACCCCAGGTTAGAGATATGTTTGCCTAGCTTGTGCTAACTTAATCTCCCCCATTTGGGGTGGGGAGAGGCTTTTAGTTTTTGCCAACCTAGAAACATTAGGAGTGTTAACATTCTTAAGCAAAATCTCCTTCTGTTTATTATATTTTATCTTCTAGTGAAATTTGGGGAGTGGAATATTGTGGAGAGAAGATATTTTAAGAACAATGAGTTGTAACGAATATACTTGAGATAACCTTGAAAAACAACTACACCCACTCTGCCATTCCTGCCTCCATGGCCAGAGTCACTTGTGAAGTGTTCGTTTGCCAGCAGCTTCTGTTTGTTTTGAGAATTGGCCAGATACAGCACAGCATAATCCTACTTTTGTGAGGATAATTTTTTCCTTAGATGGATGTTGCAGGAAAGGGGTTAGACAAAGGAATTTAAGTTGCCATTTCATTGGTAGGATAAATAAACTTAAGCTATTTATTTTCATATTTAGTTTCTATTTGGATTATCTTACGAAAATCACATTACCCTGTAGGCCTGGAGCTCTTAGCTAAAATTTTTCTGGGTTAATGTAGTTGTCATTCAAATCTCTCTTTATTCCCAGCACTCCCACACTGGATGGAGTTTAGCCTGGTGGAGGTGGGAAGGGGCATGTGTTTTTAAAAGAAAAAAAAGTGTCTGTTTCTCCTCTGGAGCAGCTTGTAATTGCGGTGGGAACAAAGGAGAAAGCACCATGTTTGGAAAGAAATAAGAGGAGAGGGATGTGAGTGGGCATCCACGTTGATCCTGAGGGGACAAGACTGCCTCCCTGGCAGAGCAGTTCCATGAAGTTTGGGAGAATCCTACAAATCCACGTGCTTGGCTTTACGTTATTTTACATTCATTTTTATAAAACAAATCAATTTGATCTGCATACTCAGTTCACTCACTAAATAGAATTTTCTTGACAAGTTGGTAAACTGGAAAGTAGAAGCGCAGCCCCACCATTAATTAGCTCTGTGGCCTTGGGCAAGTTTCTTAACCTCCCTGAGCCTCCATTCCACATCTGGAAAGTATTTCAAATAATAAGAATTATTGGAGGTAACAAATATAAAAACTCCTAGTACAGTGCCTGGCACCCTGCTCGAAAGCTCAGATGGTAAGGGTTATTAATATCAACATTATCATTCATATAAAGATCATTGAAACTGGGAGTGAAAACAAATTTAGATTCTTGGAGTGGGCCTAGAAGTTACATTAGAATGTACTTAGTATTTAATGTCCGCCAATGTCAGTAAAGGAATATTGTGTTTTAAGGTTTTATTCTGGGAGGGATTTGATAAATTTTCTATCTTCAGTAACAGTTATAAGAAATGTATTATATTCTTTAGTTGGTCAAGGAAGATTTCCTTCCTCAGGAATCTTTTCTTGACTCAGATATAAAGAAAACTGAAAGCTATTGGCTTGCTTTCTAAATTTTAACTGATTATATAAAGCTTTAATTTGGAATTAAATCACATCAATAAATATTTAATCATATGGTTGAATGTAGAAGATTTTATTTCCTCAAAAGTGTATTCCCCAAAACAGACATACTGTAAACCCCCCAAAACATGCAGTCCTAAATTAAAGTCGCGGGAAAAAGACAGGGTAGCATTGAGAAGTCAGGCAGTAGTACCTGGGGAGCTCAGCATGTAAATGCGTGTGCATCGGATGTCTTAATGTGAATTTGTTCATTTTCCTGCCCATGCTGCTATCCTTTGAATAGGCTTATTAACTTTGAATTTTTCTGGAGTGACTGAAATGTTCTTTCTCGCAGTGGTCTCTGGCCAACCAGGGCCCTGGGGAAGCTGGCAGAGACCTGAAGCGGTTGTTACCAGCACTGAACGTACTTGTCCCTCCTTTCCACGCATTTTTCTCTCCCTTGCTCGTGAGTGCTTGGCCGTAGCCTTCATGACAAAATGCTCTCTGACCGCGTGTCTCCTAGGATCTTTAAAGGCGGTGCGGGTGGCACCATTTTTTTTACTCTCCATGTTGTCTCTTAGTTACCTGGAAATTTCTATACTTCTGCCGTATTTTAAATTGTGCATCGTTGCAAAATTACCTTTTTCGTTTTTTTTTACTGTTTTATGTTTGTTTATATAACAAAGATAAACTAATGTTTAATTTCGTTAGAATGATCCTAAAAAGATAGCATTTTATTTTACCTTTGAAATATTTTTCTGTATTTTCTATACCTTTGAAATATTTGGTTGGAATTACTTTTTGTTCGGTTGGAGATTCTTTATTAAGCTCAAATCTAAGTAATTTCTAATAAATACTTTCAATAATTAATGTCGGTTAAGGCACATATTTTGTTGCCAGTTTGTTCACCTAGTCTTTTGAAACTAAACTGTTCTAATGTTTGCAGGGCGATCTAAAATCTTACCTGCGCAATGAGCAAGAGCACGTGCGGGGGGATTCGCAGACCATGTTGCTGCAGAGGATGGCGTGTGAGATTGCTGCAGGGCTGGCCGCCATGCACAAGCTGCACTTCCTGCACAGGTGGGTCCGTCCACTCAGAGTGTGTCTCCGGCATTGCCGAGGTTTCGGCCCCAAGAGGCGGTGCAGTTTGTGAAAAGGCTCTACAGAGCTTAAGGAGGACAGGCTGTAGAGTCACCTCTCAGGTCTATAAAGTAGAAGCTGTCCTGTGCTTTCTAGTGTCAGAATAAGTGTGGAGGTGGGCTTCATTTAAACTAATACTGGGGAACAGCGTGTCTTAGGACAGCCTGAAGTCTAGAAATTATTTCCAGATTTTCAAAGAATGTTAAAATTGTACATTGGTCAGAGTTGAGAGTAAACAGTCCCAATCTACCTCCTGACGTCTTGTTGTGTCCTTCTCCTGTCAGCTTTAGGCTCTGATTCTAATTGCTAGGTTTTACCGTGTGTCTCAATTCACAGTCCTGAGAGGAAGAGAGGATCTGATAAGCCAACATCATCTTTTCGTATAAGATCAGAGATTGGTTTCTGGCCAGCTCTGAGGGGCCTGCCGTGGCCGGGGTGTGGGTGGTCAGTGGTTGTTAGAACACATTTCTGTTGAAACCTTTCTGGTCCTGCTTGAATAGCCACAGCTCTTTGGAGCACATTCTATTTTATTCAGATCATGGATGTAATTTTCATAATTAAAACAACAAAGAGCTTTGAGTCTGTCGGAGATGATGGTTCTGTGAACCCAAAAAGAGATTTTTGCTTATTCTCCTCTAGCCTTTGAGCTCTGATTTATGTTTAAAATACAGTCATGCGGGGCCGGCCCTGTGGCTTGGTGGTTAAGTGTGCGCGCTGCGATGCTGGTGGCCCGGGTTCGGATCCCGGGTGCGCATCGAGGCACCACTTCTCCGTTCATCCTGAGGCCGAGTCCCACATACAGCAACTAGAAGGATGTGCAGCTACGACACACAACTATCCATTGGGGCTTTGGGGGGAAAAATAAAATAAATAAAATCTTTAAAAAAATAAATAAATAAATAAATAAAATACAGTCATGCGTCACTTGATGACGAGGATACATTCTGAGAAATGTGTTGTTAGACGACTTTGTTGTTGTGTGAACATTAGGGAGTATACTTACACAAACTGAGATAGTATAGCCTACTGCACACCTCGTCTGTGTGGTACTCTCCTTGCAGGACTACCGTCGTACACGTGGTCCATGATGGACTGAAACGTCATTATGCGGTGCAAGACTGTATATTTAAAATAATTTCTCAGGTCTCCAGGGAAACCAGGCAGTGTCTCTCTAGTTGAGTTTAGTTAAATCATTTCACTCTTAACAATCCAAAGACCTGGAAAGGAATGCCTGTGTGTATTGACTTAAAGGGATGTCTGTGAAGTGTTATATTTTTTTAAAAAACAGGTTGCACAGGAATATATTTATAGGATGACTCCATTTTTTAAAATAAGAGAACAGTTGGTTGTATTTGTGGAGGGGTGTGTGTGTGTGTGTGTGTGTGTGTGTGAAAAGACATGGAAAAGTACCTATCAAATTCTCAACATTACTTCAGGGTGGGGACGAAGGAAAATTATTAACATTTTTCTTACACATCTGTATCTTGTTTGACTTGTGTAGTGAGCAAATAATTCAGATAAAGTGCTTTTTAAAAGACCCAAAAGATTATGGGTTTCTTCAGGCCCAAGGCAGAATCCCTTAGACGAAACTTCAGAATATAAAGATCTATTTGTTTTATAATGGAGAAATCTTATGTTTCATTTTTAATCTCTTCTACCAGGTAATACACAGCATATTTGTATTGTTAAATCTTTTGTAAAGCACAGATGATTATTACCTAATACTTGGTTTAGGAATTCCTAGATTTTGAAGAATGGAGCATTTAAAAAGAGTATCGCATCAGAATCAACAACATAAAGTTATCAAAGACAGCTAGGGTTTGTGTTTAAAGCCCACCTACATTTCTACTATTGTATTTTAAAAATTGGCAAAGATACCAGAGTAAATGTTATATTCCTGTGAGTTTCTTCAGGTGAAAGTTTTACTTAATTTAGAATCTTGTGTACTTTAGAGCAAATAAAGATGATAAATTAAATCACATGGTTTGGATTTTATTCAGGTACAAACACTCAAGGTAAAGAAAATTCTTGAAACCATCGACAACTGTTTCATTTTGTTTTAAAAAGTAGCCATATTTTATGTAAAATTTCCATTTGGGGCAAAATTTTGTGCTTTAAGTTACTTTTTTGTTGGTAGCACCCTGTATAGCATATTTTTAAGTTGGAATTTAGAATATTTATTGACTGACTTAAAAGTCAGACTGTGTCGATTGAAAATAGAACAGGCCACATGTCCAACTAAAAGCTGTTAGCTGTGTTTAGAAACTAATCTAGTAAAGTACCCCCAATTAAATTTTATTTTTACTGATTGTTTAAGAAGAGACTTATGCCTGCATAAGTCTTCTTAGGTAGCCTGCATTTCTGAAGTCGAACATGTGACATTCGTGAAGGCCATGTAAACAGCAGAAGCTGCCAGTGTTTTACACTCCACACCACTGGCCCTGCTGGCCAAGAGCCTGGTACTTCCTGTCCCCTGCCTGTCAGTCCTCCTGAGCAGCTCCAGGGAGAGGCCCCCAGGTCGCTGTCGTGAGCTAAGTGCAGTGAGCTTCCAGCAGGCGGCGTGGGTCTCTCGGTGGCTCATGTTGCTGGAGACCTGTGTGACGGTGGCTTCGAGGAGTACCCAGGTGACAATTGTGCACGAAAGACCCTCTGTCGGATTTGCCCAGTTTTAAAGTTACTTTCTGCCGAGAAACACTGAGGTTACTAACTTATCCACCCTTCAGAGTGTGGGTATCCAGTGTTATAGGAGCAAGATAAATAAACACTAGTGTTAGGTGCCATTCTACATTATTTTTTTCTTAAATTGTACTACAGGTATCCACGTTGGTAAAGCTTAGAAAGTCTCGTTACTAATTGGCTTGATGCTGCACCTGTAGCTTGAGTGTTTCTTTCAGTCGGTGAATTATTAGGGGTTTTCATTAATTTGTGTGCATGTAAAAATGTTTAGGTCATATTCTTAAAAATTCCTTCTAATGTTTTTCTATTTTATTTTATTTTTTTGTGAGGAAGATCGACCCTGAGCTAACATCTGCCAGTCCTCCTCTTTTTGCTGGGGAAGACTGGCCCTGGGCTAACATCCATGCCCATCTTCCTCCACTTTATATGGGACGCCGCCACAGCATGGCTTGCCAAGTGGTGCATTGGTGCACGCCCAGGATCCAAACCGGCGAATCCTGGGCCGCCGCAGCGGAGCGCACGCACTTAACCGCTTGCACCACTGGGCCAGCCCCATGTTTTTCTATTTTAAAGATTGGTCTTTAAGGAATAAATTTTATTTATGGCAATAAATATGATTGCTTCAGTTCCTTTGCTTGGTAATTTTAAATCAAAGCCACAGATAGCGCCTGACACATAGTGGTATTAAATGAAAAAAAGACCCTATAACTCTTAACATCATTTGTCTTTCATGAAAAAACCTAAGGATTTTCCTTAAACAGCCTTTGGAATCAGTCTTGATGTAGAAGTCTACAAGCACGCTGTAAGTGTTTGGGAAATGAAAGAGTGAGCAGTTGTAGTCCCAGTTACTCACCTTCTCTAGCCTCACATTCTTCACTAGTAAAGTCTTGATAATAGAGCAGAATTCTTAAGATTAATGTGTGGATTCGGTGAAATCCTAAAGCTCGTATTATAGTGTCTGGCCCGGTACAAGCAGGGGAAGAAGAAGCAGGAGAAATAATGATTATGATGAATGAGAATCTTGTCTTACTTTTAGAGTTTTTAGTTTTCTTGCATTTTTTGGATTTGTTTTAATACTAAGTTAAAGACAATGTAAACTTTATTGAATGAGTAAATGTTCACCAAGCTTCTGCAGTCTGCAAAGTTGAGTGCTAGATGAGGTGAGGGATATAGAAATGTATTTAAAATCAGCAACATCCACGGTTCTTGCTCACTAATACTCTAGCAGGAGAGTTGAAACGTGCATTCACCTTAGGAAGAATGATTACTATGTTCCAAGCATTTGCAAAACATTCTATAAATACTTATTTTATCCTCAAGACAGCCTTAAGAGCCATGAGGCAGGTGCCATTATTAACCCCGTTTTACAGAGCAGGATACTGATGGTCAGAGTGGTGAGCAAATTAGTGTCCTAGCCACTAACTGATGAGCAGTTTGAACTCAGGCCATCTGACTCTTGAGCCTGTGCTCTCACCTTCTGTATTGTTTTATTATATCATAATGAGCGCTGTCATTTGAGATACACACACCATGTGTGGTCCCTTATACAGGAGGAGAAGTTACTTTTGTCTGCGGGGAATCAAGGAAGTGGCATTTTAGTTATCCTTGAAGAACAAGCGTAAGTTGGAGAATGGAGATTAAGAAATTGCTAGAGAAGGGAGTAGCAAGCATATGTGTAGGGTGAAAGAGAAGAAAAGGAGGTGTAGGGCAGTATCAAACAGTCTAGTTTAACTGGAACAGAAGATGCATGAAGAGAAATAGTGGAAGATAAGAATAGCAAGGTAGCCTGAAGCCAAATTAGAGAGGACCTTGAGTGCCGGGATAAGGCCTTTGGATTTTATTTTGTAGGCAGTGGAGAGGCATAACAAGAACTCTGTCCATGCACATGTGTGTGTGCTTAATCACTTTTGCAGTACAGTTTAGGATAGTTTGGAAAGAGAAGACACTACTGACAAGAAAACCAAATAGGAGTTTATATAGGGTAGGTGTCCATGCAAGTTCTTTATTTCCCCTTCTACATGGAAAATCTGTTGAAGGCAGGGATTGGGTCCTCTTTACCTTTGTATCTCCCGTGATGTATTTCACATAGAAGTGAGGAAAGGCAGCAAGGGAAAGGAACAAATTTAAATGTAGTAGAAACCCAAGAAGAAATGGAAGACTTCAGTAGATCAGGTAGCTCAACTGGAAAGGTGATTAAAGAGCTTTCACTAAAAAAAGCACCAGGTCCAGAGGGTTTCATGGTTGACTTCAATCTAACCTTTAAA